CTGTGATTTGATAGACTTGCAATCTAAACACATTTTGTAAGTATATTTGGTGTATGTAGATTGTTTTCAATGGATTTATTATTGTTAGATTTGACAAGTTTTGTTTCACTTTATAGATTAAAAATATTTTCGAAAAGTGTTATTTAAACAAGGTGCAATAAATATACCAATGAAATTGGTAAAAACTATTGAATATTGGTTTTTAAAGAGAATTACCTTTTACCATTTTTGTATTGAAAAATTGTTTATTAAAAGAAATATTTTTAGTTACAATGTAAAACAAAAAAAAAATTGCTTTAACAACCCTAACATATATCTTTGATTTGCATTAGGCAACTTAGTCAAGTTCTATATATAGATAACTTCATGCAAAAAAATATAGATCTAGTTTTTTTTATATATATATATATATATATATATATATATATATATATATATATATATAATTTTTTCACAAATGTTATTTTTAATGGATATCTGTGTTTGAAATAGATATCCTGTTTTGTTTTTATTATAAACAGTATGTATTACGTCTACTGGTCTGTGCACTCAAGAATATTTTCTTTTTGGCAGGTGTTCACAGGTCCAAACCCTATCAGAGTGCACATTTTCTTTATTAAGGATTCTTGAGTGCACAAACCATCAGGCATTATACACACTGTTCAAAATAAAATTAAAAATAAATAAAAAATTATGTCTATTTCAAACCTGAGTCTCCACTAAATTAAAAATTTATTAATTCTTTATATAGTGAAAGTGTCCCATTCTCTCCAAGCAAATTTTCTTAGAATTCATGACTAAATTTATTTACAGAAATTGTTATAATTTTAAAAATGGTTGTGTGATAGTTATAACAAATGCCTTAGCATAATTCCATTGTTTAATTATTTGCTTTACTGTAGTTAATTTATAGTATTTTAAAGTAGAAAAGGCAAATTGTTTGATCAAAATACTGTGGAATCCAAGTGGGGTGCAGAAGGAAATGTTGCAATCAAAGATCATACGTCCAATATCAAGAAATCCCAGCACGTCTTTTTTGTTGTCAATGCACTGCCTGTTCAAAACCATCTGATTAAAAAAAAAAAAAAAAAAAAAACCAAAAAACTGTCTCCTTAAAAAAGGACATGCTCTTATATCAATTGTGTCCTCGCACATGCACAACCACCAACACGTGCATTATGATAGAATTACAAATGGCAACCATGACTGCCCCTTTGGTCTCACTTCACTACAGCTCTATAATATGTAGTATGCAAAGTAAATGTACATATACAAGCACATGAGATTACCCAGCATTGTCCAGGTTAGTTTCTATTAATATTTGTTAGCAAATCTACATAATCAGATGATGAAATTATGTTGATTGTTTAGCTCTACTATTTTAACATAGCTTCAAATCATCTTTACTCAATTTTTTTTTTTAAACATACCAAACTCTAATAATACTTTTTCCTTAAGTTTAAAAAAAAAAAAAAATTTGGATTTTATTACACTAGTTTGATTTATTTCAATATGGGGTATATTTCAAATCCATTTTTATAATCCAATAGTTTTCATTCTGTGTAGTTTTGTTATAACAAAATGACTCTAAGTGGAAACATATCCTATTTGAAATATTCTCCAAATTATTTTCTACCCATACAATTTTTTTTTTTTTTAACATCAAAATCCCTTCCAAGCAAGACAGAAGCTACTAAGATATGAGAGGTGTGAAAGAATTAGAAAACAAACATTATTGAGGAGCAAGAACAATAGAGTAATCTGGAAGACAGTAGATAATGATTGATATTGCATTTAAATTTTTGAAGATCAAACTTTACTGGAAAGAAAGAAGCTGGAAGAGAGTTCCCCAAGCAAGATTTAGCTTAAACAGTTAAAAATTTTATTAGCTGAAAGAATTACAATGAAAAGGAATATTAATTTAGAAAATCTATGTACTGAGGACATCTCTGCATTTTTTTTAAAGCCTTCCAAATATATATCGATCAAAAATAATAAGCATATGAGTTTTTGATACTCCTTATATTACTAATAACACCTTGAATATTTGAGTAATATTTTCAAAATTTATTTTAACAAAATAGCTGTTTTGCCTCTCAGTAATTTTTTGCTTAATCTCAGACAACCCTTCCCCCCCCCCAATTTTCATTACCCAAACCTACAAATTGAGTGTCAAAAATTCTTCAAATTTTAGGTTGTAAATTGTAAAATACGGTCATTTATCATAAAATTCTACTTTTAAAATGTCACTATGATGATTTTCCCTTTCATTCATTCAGAGCTCTCTGAATAAACTTCACAAATTGCTTTGATTGGATAATAAAATAATTATGTCATAATAGCATTTTTTTTATTATTAAGAATAGGTTATTACAAATGTTTCTGTAAGGAGGGTCAAAACCCTCTAAACAGTTTGTATCCACTCTAACAGAACATGGCTAAGTATTAAATGATCAACTTTTTGAATTTGTATTATTTGCTAGGTTTGTTCACACAAAATCTGTTATGCAATCTTTCGTATCTGCAGATTCTTGTATATGCTTTTAGTTTTTGCTGTATCACTGTATACAATGAGTATATTTTGGTGTATTTGCTTAAACTGATGCTAACCTCCAGTAGAGTGACTTATTGAATCTTCTTCAGCTAACATTTTCTGCTGACATAAAGTAGAAAGATTATATTAAATCAGTTATTAGATCAGCTGCTAGGTTCATTGTGTTGTGCTAGACAATTTTGATTGCTAAAATGTCTTGCACATTTATAAATCTACCATTCATTGATGCATTGAATATTGCTGTGGCATCTGGTCTGGTGCTTCTATATTTTCAGAGATTCTAGATAAAATACAAATAATCTGCAATGTTATTGGTCCTGACCTGGAATCTCAGTTTTGGTTACATTCTCACTGCCATAATGTAGCTTCCCTGTGCCTTTTCTATAAATATATTTGAATGGTAATTGTTCTGATGAGCTTTTTCTCTATGGTACCTAGACTTCATGAATTTAAGAGCAGTATTAGTTTGGTGGCAAGTTCTCATAATTTTACAGTTGAAATTGCAAAATGTAAAAATAAGTTCTATGCTGACAGTTATCTTCTCTTGTACTTCTTTCTTGTGGAATTCTGTTCCAGCTTCATTCTTTCCAGTCAACTTTGATCTTTGAAAATTTAAATGCATTATCAATCATTATCTTCTGCGTTAATTCCTGTTCTTTTCTTGTTTGCTCTCTTTAATAATGTTTTCTTTTTCTCATGTTCTCTCATACTCAGTAACCTACTGTCTTAATGGCTTTATTGCCTTGCTTGGGATGAAATGATAAAAAATATAGAAAAAAAACAGAAAAAAAACATTAGAATTAGTTTGCATATTAAATTATAAAACCTGCAACTGGATGCTGAAAAGTTTTCAACCATCCAACTTCCAAAAACCTGACTAAACATTGGAAATGTTTTTGAATTTTCCTTGGCCAGCATTCCTTTATATATTTAAAGAGATTTATAATAGAATAATTAAATATCATCTTTTATGTAAATTTGATAAAATAAATTTTGCAAAATATGAATTTATCAAAAATATTTGTTTTTAATTTTCATTATTCAGTGATGCCAACCATGATTTTTTTCTTAAAGGAAAAAAGAAAATAATTGATTTTTGTTAAATTTGAATAAAATACTAGAAATAGTTTCTATTTGCATTGAGAATTTCTTGCCTATAATCAGTCTAAAAATGCAATCAGTATCAAACACGTGCTGTTCATTGTGTGTGTGTGTGTGTGTATATATATATATATATATATATATATATATACACACACATTACATCATTCAAGGTTATGGTTTCATCTCTGAGAATTATGTATATTGTGTAGAGGTAATATTGTCCAGATTTTCAGAACTTGATTGATTGGAGCAATCATGATTAGTCAAGATAGATATGAGGATAGATCATTGATCAGGTTACTTACTGCAAGGTGGTTGTCAGTAGTAGTAGTAATAATCAGTTAGACTTTTCTCTGGACATCATTAGAGAAAAATAAACCTTTCTTGGGTGGATGGACATGTATACATTTTTCTACCCTTCAAATAGCATAGTGATGAAAAGTGTTGTTCATCTGGTGAAGAAAGTGAAAATACTGATTCTGTATCCTGTGCTTGCTGTGGCTGTTAAATTTCCATATTGAACATTCACAGCTGACCACTTGCTGATCAACTATCCCTTTGGATAAATTTTACTGCTTCAGAACTGTAAAAAAAAAAAGAACTTAAAACAATTGAAATTATTTTGATTTGTTGACAGTTTCATTCTTGGCACTTTTTATTTATCAAGTTGAAAATCATATAGCAACTGGTAATAATCAGTTTTTGTCTCCCTCAATTCAGCTTGTATTTGTCAAAAGACCCTCCATTATTTCTATTTGCACTGACACTACCATTTTGTTCTGTATCATGGCTCATCTGATAAAGACATTAATTCTTCCATCTGCATGGTTATAAAACTGGGTAACTAATGCAGTTGTTTTAGATATGATTAGACTGTCAGGGTTAGTTATGGGAGTAATAGCTACTTGATGCTATTGTCTCGGTAGGTAAAGTAGTTATCGGAGAATGGTTTTGTCATGCATTAACTCTGCTCTGTCAATTATCTTAGTATACTAGTTAACAAAATATTTTGTCCAAATATCAGGGGAAGTAGATTCAGGCTTTTTCCAAATTAATTGGTTGGAAATGAACATAAACTACTTCCTCTGAGATTTCAACTTGGTACATAAATTTTGTATTTAGACCTTAAACATGTTTCTAGTAGCATAAACATACCATTAGAAAAATCCACAATAACTTATTGTATTATATTATTCGAATTATAATGCATATATAAATTCTATTTTTAATTTTTTTTTTTTTTTTTTTTTTATCATCACACCCTCTCCTTATAGTTGATCATGAGACTTAATAATTAAATCTTTTTCTCTTTCTTTTTTTTTTTTTTTTTTAAACTTTCTAGTCTGTTAGTTTGGTGTCGCAGAGTTCTGCAGGAGCAAAAAGTGTTCCTCATAAATCATCAACCAGTGTAGGTGTCACATCTTCTGCCACATCAACCACCCAAGCAGCAGCAGCAGCAACATCAGGTGACACAACAACGTCGGCGGTGACGTCCCCGACTCGAATGTCCAAGGACCAGTCTGCAGACTCTAAGCTTGCCATTGCCAAGAGGACATCAGGCAAGAAATACCCCAATGATTTCATATTTGGAAAAGTCATTGGGGAAGGCTCCTTCTCAACTGTAAGTATCTTTTTCTACACTTCCCCAACCTCCTATTTTCATAAATTGGTATATCTATTTATATAACAATGATAATTTATCAACAACAAATCTAAAATTTTTCAAATAACTTTTTTCTTTTTACTTTTAGTCAGCTGTCATTCATTTTATTTTCGTTATATTTTTCTTGTCTCTCTCTCTCTCTCTTTCTCTCCCACCTTCCAGTAAGGGGGGAAAAATTTTATTTTAATTTTTTTTTTTTTTTTTTAAATCTAGTAAAAATAATCTGCAAATAAAAATAAACAAAATCAAAAAATTAAAAACAGGAAAATAAATTTATTATAATGTGCTTTTTCTTTTCTCTCAATGTATGGGGTTTCAGCAAAGCATATTAAGGATTTGAACTCAAAGATAAACCAGTCCACTTCTTTGGCTTTTATACAAGACTGATTTCTACAAATTGAATAAAATTGTTTATATCTGTTCTTATATTAGGATGAGCCAAGCATCTACTCAGATTATCTTGTATTATTTTTTTCAAAACCTATTTTAGCTACTGTATATCCTCTATAAGCCAACTCCATGTATAGTGCCAATCCTGAATTTTTTGTCAGGATTCAAAAAAATTACTTGTGTAGAATGCAACCTCCTATTCTTTTTTTATTTTTTTTTTTTTTTTTTTTTTTTTTTTTTTTTTTTTTTTTTTTTTTTTTTTTTTATTTTATTTTATTTTTTTTTTTTAAAAAAAAAAAAAAACTGATCATAAAAACTTGCACTATACTTAAGTATATATGGTATATGAAGAGGTGTACAATAAATTACTTTTTGTCTGCATACAATTAAACACTTGGAAGTAGGATTTTTTTTTTTTTTTTTTTTTTTTTTTTTTTAAGTAGAAAATGTTATTTTTTTCCCCTTCCTGGGGTTCATATATATAATCATTGTGAATGTTGTTCAAACAAAATATCAATCAATTCCAATGAGTTGATGACAACTAGAAATTTTTCAGCACTGACAATTTTGATTTCAGTATAAACTTCATAAAATGCTTGAAACCAAATCTTTTTTGTTAGGAATAAAATGTTGATGATTATGGTTATTTCAGTTACATCTAATTCCTCAGGAATATAGACAAGATTATATAATTTTGTATTTCTATATACCTAAAGTGATAAAAGAATAGTCTTCTTTGCTACATATTCATAATTCCTGAAATTAAATATAATCTACCATAGAGAAAGGGACTAACGTATTCTGCTTCATGATTGATAGATTAGTTTTTCTGGTAAAAATTTATAAATTACACTTTGAATCTGTATAAAAATTAGTAAAAAAAAAAAAACAAAAAACAAATACTGTCCCAATATTTTAAATGTGAATGAAAGTCCAAGACAACTTACTTTCAAAAGGCATTCTGATCTTTTACTATGCTCTTTTTTTTTTTTTTTTAATTTAAATTAGTTTTAATTTTGGGAATAGAATATGATTAATAAATTGGTCAACATAAAATATTGCTAGCTTTTTTTTATAAAATGTGATTAACTTTCAAATAACTTTTAAAAAAACATTTTGTTACAACTTTTTTTATTTATTTTTTTATTTATTACTCACCAACTTTCCCAAAAGAGGACTGAATACAAAGAAATGAGTTGCAATCTTGATAAACAAATTTTCCAACAATGACTCAAAAACTTCCAATTCTAAAATAATTTGTTCATGTTACAGAACTCTGATAACATGACTCTCATTTTGTTTATAAACAACACAAGCACTTTCTAATGACCACAATTTCATCTAGGGTTTCTATAAATAGAAATATTACACTGTTTGAATTTTTGGTGCAAGTTCCTTTTGTGAATCAGTTCTGTCTACAAATGTAAATTTATATACTTTTAAATAATTCAAAATTTTTTCAGCAGTAAGTTTTTTTTTTTTTTATATTTTCTAATTTTACTTGATAGTTTATTCTAATTGCATGGCATTAACTATGTTTTCATATAGTATGGGTATTTTTTCAGTTTAATTTGAGCTATGCAAATGTCCTTTAAATATTTAAACCTCGTGGATTTAATAATTGTACAGACATACCATGGACTGAACATGAGTAATGGCATAGTTTTAAGGAAAATGGAAACAAAAAAGTACTTCTGCTTAGAATCAAAAAGAGGTAGTTGAAATTTCCAGGGTTCATAATTAAGAAAAAGGGCTTGAAGAATTTGACACTCACAGGACAGATTGAAGGCAAGAAGGACAGCAGAGTAACTTATGTAAATGGTTGGCAGAACAGGGATTATGAGGTATAGCAACAGAGATAATCCTTACTAAGAGCTACAAAGCACAGGAAGTTGTGGAGAACCATGATTGCACACATCTTGAATAGTCACGGCACATAGAAGAAAGGTGCGCATACATGCACACACAAGCTCATACTGATTATATTCATTGCTTATATGCATGAAGAAAACTAAAGCAGATAATGACATCTGCAGTTTCTGCTATAAAGAGTGATAAACTATAAAAATCTACTAGAGTAATTTAGTTTTCGTATGCTAACTGCATATCTCTTGTGATATTTATAACTATATAATGTATTTTCATTTTCAAAACCTATTGAAAGCTCATGTATGTTTCTTGAAGCTTTTATAATACCCTCTATATGGCAGCTTTCATTGAGTCTAGCTCTTCTGAAATGTTAGTTTGTTCTTGTATACTTTCAAATTTTTAAAGTGTTATAATTGACACTTAATGGTTCGCTTGTGTACTGTATTTAAAAAGACAGATCATGAGTTCCGTAACCTATCATACTCATAGGTGTACTATATGTACAATAGTTATAGCAGCAGTGGGTGTATCTAGGACAAGATGGCCTAACAAACTCTTCTCTCTTCAGGCTGGTTTTGAATTTAGTCATTCTTTTCCTAAAAAAGCTAGTCTGCTCTGCTATTTAACCCATAGCTGGGAAGATACAAAATAGATTTGTATTTTTCCCAATTTGTGAAAAAGTGAACACAACAAACCATCCCAAAAATTTGAACTAGGCTTGCTGATTACACTTTCTACACAGATATCTGGTATGCTATCTGTACACCTAGAAACAAATCAACACTTTTCAAAAACATGCAATTCATTTTTTTGGCAGTATGGTCAGATATTTAATTTCATTCTGCTTCCCAAATTCTGCAAGCAGCTTCACGTTTAAAATATGGATTCAAAATTGTTTGAATCTTGATACTTATATCAGCAATTATGGCCACTTAGAAGATAAATTAACAATAACTATTTTGTCTAAATTCTTTTAAATTAATGACTTCATCTTGTCAGTTGATAGAACACATTTTAGACTTTTTTCATTTATGTTGCCATTGCTTTGGTCACGGATATAAAATAGGGATTTATGTTGCATCTATGGTTAAAAAATGACAATTGGCTTGATTCACCACAAAATGGTGCAATTTACTTTGTGATGTCATGAATCTGCTTAATTTCTGATGCTTAGTCATGGAGATACTTTTTAATTGACAGTTCATTTGTAACATGATTTTGAACTTTTTTTTTTTTTCTTGTTCAGCTATGGACCAAATATATTTGGGTTAAACTATCTGAATATCTATTTGCTTTGATGAATAGACAGAAACAATTTGACTCGGGCAGAAATTTCCTCGATATTTGCATGTTTCTTCTGTTAATTTACATCATTTTCAATCAACCTTCATAAAAAGAATGATCAAATCAAGTTAGATTTGATCCATACTGATAGTTTAGGTGAGAATAGGCAAATATTTTTTGTTACTTTTCCAGAAAAATTAAGAAAATTTTTATTTTGATATCACCATAAGCAGTTTAACCATATTAAAAAAACTTTATAGAACTTGATTATTTTTAATAAACTCTGTTTGCCACTTTTAAACTTTTGGCTTTTTTTTTTTTTTTTTGAAAGGTGTATTTGGCAAAGGAAATTAGCACAGATAAGGAATATGCAAGTAAGTAATTTCTTTTCTTATTTAAAAATATGCAATATGAAATGAACTTTCGCTCTGTAACTTCAATTCCAGAAATGTTAATAATTATACAACTTGACTGTGTAAGTTTTATGGACTGTGTTGGTCTGATTGAAATCTATAGCAACTTTTGAACTTTGTAGACAGAATCTTAAAAGGTGTCATGTCAGGTGAAAGTTAAATGATGTCAGTTTTATTACTAACTCATTAGTTTAAATATCAAATTAGGTACTTTAGTTTCTGGTTAAGATGTTATAATGTACAGATTAGATAATGACTAACAATATTAGTAATTTCATGTTTTTTATGCAACATTGAAAAAACAATTTCTGCTAAGAAAAAACATTAATAATTGAAATGAAAAGCTTGGATCAGTTTTCTAATAAATTATGGTATGGCTAATATTTTTCCTTTAGATCAACATCTTTGAGAATTTTTTAATTTTTTTTATGGTTGCTTTTTTGTTGCAACTCTCAGATTATCATTTCAGTCAAGGATTTGCAATAAATAAACAGAAGAAAGAAAATGTTTGAACTCGATATAAAAAAAAAATATTAGTGAAAAATGAATATCAATTGACAATGCTTCATCTAAGAAATTCAAATTAGTCTTTGATGATAATTACTACTTTCATGTTTGGCTCAAAATAGAAAACAAATGCAACAATGCTAATTAATTGTTGAAATAATGTCAACACCAAAAATTATTTTCTGTTTACTATAATTAAGTTAAAATGAGTTTAAAAAGATCTATTCACTGCACAATCAAAAAAGAAAAAAGGGGGTTATATTTCAAATATTCAAATTCTTATAAAATATTTTTTGTAGGACTCCAAACTGTTTAATTTGTTTGAATGGGTGCTGAAAAGTTCTTAGTTCATCACATTTCCCAAAATCAATAGTTTGGTGTTTGGTCATTAAAATAATCTTGGAGTGGGTCAGCTCAAGAATTTTTCAGCACCCCCCATCATGTTAATCTTGTATACATTTCTGAAAATGTCTCTTGATTTCATGGGAGAAAAAAAAATAGTTTGTTTTTTGTGATCTCTTTATTCATAATCTGCTGTAGTGTAACCACGTCACCTTTATAGGCTTGTCATCCAATAATGGCTTTAGGAGTGGAGTCAACCAAAAGTTAAGTGCTCTATATTCCAAGAGGCTTTTTTTTTTTTTAATGTAGTTAAAAATTAAATTGTTTATTTGCTTCTTTAATTCTAATAGTTGGGAAGTGTCATAGTCTGATGCTGGTATTAAACTGGTCCACTGGTACAGCATTTTACATGACCTAACTTCCATGATGAGAAGCTAAAGAGACCAGTACAACGTTACACTTTCTTTTGTTTTTTTGAACATTTTATTATTTATCTTTTATTTATGAGGTGGGTTTTTATCTCAATCTGAAATTTAAAGAATAGAAATATTTTTGAAATTATCAATATGAAATTTAAATGTCATTTTCTGACAGTACAGTTGCTAAGCAACTGTGCTCAAATTTGACTAAATCTTAAGCAACTCATCTACTAATATCAGAGTGGATTAAGCAACTTAAAAACATAAAAATGTAAAATTTAAACAATTTTGCCATGTAAGAATTCTACCAAGTCTATTTTAGTTACATTGTACTTTTCTATGTATTAAATGCCACCTTAAAAAATTCAAGCAACCCAATTACTGATCAATATCCTATGTTGCTTATTTAAAAAAAAAAAAAAAAGTTTTAAGTAAGATGAGCCAAATTTAAATTATTGTGCCCTTTGTTGTGTTTAAAGTTGGCAATATTTTGATTATTCATTTCCTCATGATATGCACATCGATTTCATTTTTTGGTGATGATAAAACAAAATTCCGATGAAATGTAAAAGTGGTTCATCTCTACTCACAAATCATAAATTTGGAAGAAAAATGAATGATATAGAACCAGAACTTAAAACATTTGTACTGAAAATAATTACATGCATTTAAGTTCCTCCATAAGCTTTATTTCTTTTATTGACCATGGAAAATTTTCATTGTTCAACAGTTGGAATAACAATTGAAAACAAACCTTTTAGATAGGCTAATGTGTGTTTGTGTAAACAGTCCTTTGCTCTCTGAAGAGCAGAGGTTCATTTGTTCATACTCAAAAGTGAGGGTTTAATTTCAGAATGTTCTACTTTACCAGTTGTACCCAAAATAAGACCCAAAGCACAAATAAAAGAACTTCTTTAATCCTCAGCAAGTTCTGAAGAATCCCTGCTATTCTTTGAAAGTTATTTCTGTGAATAAGTTTCTCATTCAAATTTTTAGAATTGATATTTGTTCATGCATTAAGTATATTTTTTATTTGTTACTGATTAAGAGTGATTTTAATAATTTTATTTTAAATATCACCTGTCAGTTTGTTTACATTTAAAATATGAAAAAAATCATTTTTCTCATTAACCTACAAGAAATAGCTTAAAATTGTACACACAATCAATTTGGACCAGTTTACTTTTTTTTTTTTTTTTTTTAATGCATGGTATATTACTTGAGGGGAAAAACATAGTTTATTCTAACTAAAGATGATTGCAGATATAAGTTAATATGGCTAAATGTACAAAGAATTAAAATCTCTTGCTTTCTCCCTATAAGGAACACATTAATGCCATAAAGTATCGAGAAAAGTAGTGGGTACTTCACCTGATAAAATAGCTTTGTGGTATATCAACAGCCAGACTAAAGTAGCTGAATTTTTTTTTTCTATTTCTGATGTTATATTGCTGTTTGGAAATATTTTTTCCTGCTGGGCACATGTATTCATCTATTCCACTTATCATGTATGTCTATTTTGTTGCTGTTGATGTATTTCAGTCAAGGTGCTGGAAAAGAAGCATATCATGCGAGAGAAGAAAACCCAGTATGTGATGAGAGAGAAAGAAGTGCTGGCAAGTGTTAGCAACCACCCGTTTTTCATCCGACTCTACTGCACCTTTCAAGATACAGACCGACTGTGTATCCTTTTTGCAGAAAGAAAAAGTGTACCTGCTGATGTATATGCAGCCATTGTTTGTTTGTCTCTTGTGTAACACCAAGCATCCATTACATTGTATACTTTTAATCTATTTTTATATTAAATCTCGATTATTACTAGGCTGATTAATATTTCATTTAAGTTTTAGTATTTCTTTTGTCTTTTTTGTATGACTCTATCCTCCTCCCACCATTTTAAAAAAAAAAAATTGCTTCTCTCTCATATATATATATATATATATATATATATATATATATATACACACACACTATCCCTAAGTGATAACATGACTCAGTTTTATCCACAATGCAATCATCAGGTGCTGAGTATAGACTGACCATTACATAATATAAATTTTAATAAAAAATATCTGGTTATTGCAATGCTGCCACAGTTATATATTATACTGGGATTACAGTTTTTTCATTTAAAAAAATATATTTGGTATTTAAAATAAATGGGATTTTATATATATATATATATATATATATATATATATGATAGGATAAAGAACAAGTAGGAAACAGATCACAATCTAACATGTTTCACTTTATTAAAGCTTTGTCAGAGATCAAGATAGAAATGATAAAAAGTAAAGATGCAGATAAATGCTATGTTGTATTTGGCTATTTCTTATTGGATACGTACGTGTCACATGTAATGAAGTAACAGATAATATTTAAATGTGTGGCAAACATTCTCAACGCTAAAGTGTGTAAAAGTTAGTATGATGCAGTAGGATATTTTGATTGGATATGTGTCACATGTAATGAAGTAACAGATAATATTCAAATAAGTGTAAGAAAACATTCTGGATGCTAAAGTGTGTAAAGGCTAGTGAGACACTGCAGAATGTTTTGAAAAATTTTTCATTACAGTATACCTTGTGTATAATTTTTTTTTTTTTTATGTGTATAGTTCACTAGCTCAGTCACTAAATCTACTTTCAAAATCTACCACAACTCTAACTGTAGAAGTCATAACATAATTTACCTATTAGAATGCACACTATGCCAGAAACAATATGTGGGAAAATCTGAATGGCCCTTTCACTAGAGAATTAATAATTATCAGAATCAGATGAAGTCAGATCCTCACAAAAGTTTATTACCTGTAGAACATTTCTATCTAGAACAACATGATTTTAAAAGCCATGCAAAATTCACTATAATTGAAAAAATAGAAATAGACAGAAAAGATGACCTTGGAAAAAATATTAGAGGAACATGAAGATAAATGGATTTTGCACCTCAAAACACTTCATCCATATGGGTTTAAACACAAATTTAACAACATAGATAGAATTAATATATAACCCCATAAATCAAGCCCTACCCTACCCATATTTCTCACTCACACAAGACATATGCATGCGGAAGTGTTGAGGTCTCATACTTATACACACACACTCACACAAATATATATACATGCACACATCACGCACACTAACAAATAACTAAAAGTTAACATAGGAGGGTATTCTGAAAGTCAGGAATCTTGAAAGAGGCCATTTGACCAACACAAGGACAGACCAAAATTAATGATAAAAAAAACAAATGACAACTACAGATAAAGTTCACTTTCTTCAGAAACAGTCATACACTCCTGTAGTTCACTGCTACTAACAAGCAGGGATTTTTTTCTTCTGATGATGGCCATGATGGCCGAAACTAGTCGAGGAACCAAATTGAAATAATAAAACAAAAATATATTAATATACAACCCAGTGTGTCTGAAAATTTTAATTTTTTTTTAATATTTTTTATTGTTCAAAACACACATACATGTGTGTGTATATATATATATATATATATATATATATATATATATAAATAATATGCACAAGATACACTTTAATGAAAAATATTTCAACACATCTTGCAATGTCTCACTAACCTTTACACACTTTAACATCCAGAATGTTTTCTTACATTTATTTGAATAATATCTGTTACTTCAGTACACATGACACGTATCCAATCAAAACCTCCTACTGCATCTTACTTTTACATGCTTTGGCATTGAAAATGTTTGCCACACAGTTAAATATTCTGTTACTTCATTACATGTCGCATGTATCCAGCCAATAAGAAATAAGCCAAACACAATATACCATTAATCTGCATCTCTTGCTTTTTATCATTTCTATCTTGATCTCTGATGAAGCTTTAATAAAGTGAAACATGTTAGATTAAGATCCGTTTCCTACTTGTTCTGTATCTTATGATTTTGTTGGATTCCTATCCATACTCTATCTATCAATGTATATATTAATTTTTATATTAAGAATGAAGGGAGATTACTTGTTCTTTTTAAAAATAAATATATAATTTACATTAAAATTTAATCTGGATCAACATATTTGGACAGATATATATTTTTATACACTATTTACATTATTTGGGCTATTGTCCTCATCTTTGTTGCCATATTTATTACAACGTTTCGGCCGTGGCACAGTGGATAAAGGCATTGGTTAGATCCAGTGACAGGACCCAAAGAGTGTGAGTTCAATACCCGGTTAAGGCAGTGGAGAACTTGGAGAGGTGAATTCACAGGAGATCACTGATAACTGACATCCATTAAACATGGCACGTGAAAGTAGAACAGTCAGTGAGTGAAATAAAGGGTTCAGTTCAACATTCCAACCACCTGAAGAAGGCCGGAGTGTACAACAGCCAAAACATTGTAATAAATATAGCAACAAAGATGAATAATGTAAATAGTGTACATAATACCTCATCTGAGAAATATAGAGATATATTTTTATGCCTACATATAACCATCAATTCATTTCTCTTGTTTAATGAACTTGGGTTATTTAAGTGTTTTAAGATAACTAATTTTTCAACAAGACATAAATTACATCTATTGCTTTTAACATTGTAAGATTTGGCTCAATATCCCACATGATAACATGGGTATGACCACCATTCTTTGTCAGAAACATTTAGAGAGAGCAGCGCTGTTTTTGTATTTTATATTGCCTGAAGTCATTCAATGATGGTAGAAATGAAATTTCCAAGGATTTTCAGTGGAACCAAAATAAAATTTGACATCTTTACTGGAATGTATGCTAGCTCAGTATACAATATTATCAGTTATACATTGACCGTTTAATGGACAGATAATTTTTTTTAAATTAAATGCAACTGCTGAAAAAATATGAACGTTGTCTTTGTTGAAAATATATTTATTTGATATAATGTTATGTTGTAATATAGATTTATCAATGTTGCTAACACAGCTATATCTGGTCTTAACATTATTTTTATTAAGTCTTTTTAGTGTTGGTGAATGATTAAAGTGCTTATGAATTTAGAAAAATTATTCTAATATTCATTTGAACATTACTATTAAAAGGTGGATCAAGCTATATTACGTTATTCCTATGGTGTTACTGTTTATTTTACCTTTGTTTTCTAAATATTTTAACTTTATGGTTGCTTAGTTTTAATTTAGTTTGTTAAATTTAATTTTATTATCAAATATTTCCTTATTGCTGGAGTTGGTAGACTGATTTATGTAAATTATCTAGAATTTTATTATGGTGGTTTGATTTTTTTTTTTTTTTTATATATACCTACATATCTATGGTTTTTATATATACCTACATATCTATGGTTTTTATATATACCTACATATCTATGGTTTTTATATATACCTACATATCTATGGTTATATAGATCTTTGGTATATGGTTTGTAATAAGCATTATTCAAGTCCAGGGTCACATTGAGGAAGTTGATCACTTTAGCATTGGTAGTAGTGGAAGTATTTAGCTTGTGATCTTTTAAAATTTTTATCAGTTCCTTTCTCAATTGTTCTATATTTCTTTTGTTTTTTGGAGGAAAATTACACCATCCTCTCTATAGAGATTGGTGTCCTTAATATCGAAAATAAATCTTAGTTGCCACAATAACATGATTTAAACTAATTCACAAGCCTCTGCTGAATCATATGCTCCCATAGCAATATTAAAGTTTGGGTTATTTCTTTATCCATAGATAACCATTATGGAATAATATAGGTTTTTGTGCCTGCTTTATGATTTTTATTTTGTGATCACTAACAGGACAGTCATTTTTTGTTAAATTTATAAAAGACATTAGCAGATTCTTGGTGATGGATGAGCAAAAGTCACAAATATCGAATAAGATGAATGTAAATTCATTCTTCCCTTTTTATATTAGTAAACCATTCTAAGGCTTCTGCTGTTTTATGCCACTGGTTAACTCCCAGAGCATTTTTCATGTATTTGCACTCTCTTTCAAGGGTGTTTTTGCTGATTGTACTGATTTATTATTTTTAGTTGAGTAATCGGTATTTATTGAGGGTTGTTTAGGAAATTTGCTTTGTGGTCTTTAACTGTGATGAATGCTTGTTGTTTGTGGAATTTGTAAATCCTAACATCAATTTTTAGTTCAGTTGTTATTTTCTTGGTTTCACTTCCCCAGTTGTTTGGTGCCTTTTTATAAAACTTATAAACTTTAAGATGTTTATGGTACACATCTGCATTGGTTTTGTAATGGTTACCTGTCTTATCTGCTTTAATAATTATTTTCTGATTCTTTGATCATAGAAAGGTCCTTTTGTTTTTGTTTTTTTTTGTAAGTACAATAATTGTCACCTTGTGGTGTTTTTGGGGACTTAAATCCATAAAATTCTGGATCTTTTAAGTTGTTATACTCGTTCTTGTGTTTAAAGAAGAGTTTCCACCTCATTATTTTTATGGTGCTCTCGATCTTGTGTAAAAGGATCTTTTGTCAGGAACCATGATGTTTTTAGTGGACAAGTTGATTGGTTCCATATTCCAATAACTGTTAGGATATGAAGTATAAATACTTTTACACCTATAACAGTGCTCAAATAAAGGAGCAAAATGTATATATTTGTCATTCAAAATACAGCCAATAATTTCACTTATGCTCATGACTTGGATTTTTTTTTTTTTTTTTTTTAGTCAAGCACCAAAAAATTATTATTTCAACTTAGATTTAAAGAATTTTTTACCTACCTGCTACTAACTTTAACTTTATATAAAGTCAATATTTTAATAAACAATTACTGGTAGGTGTTAGAAATATTTAAAAAGATTGCCTGAATGCAATCAACAAAAATTTCTTACAATGGTTCAGCTAGCAAGCCAAACAAAAATCATTTGCAGGGCCAGAGGCAGCCTGTGCCTAGGGGTTGCCGACCTCTGCCATAAGCAGTCATTTACTTGAAACTGAATTGCATAGAGAATATAAAATAATTTTTAAACATTTAATTCTGTTGTTGTACAATTGATCTTGCTCGCTTGCCATTCCTTGTAACCATGATCTCTTGCTGATCGATGGGTCGTTAAATTTTAAACAAACAAACATTCCTTGTAACCAATGTTCTATTTAAGCAGAATAAAATTTCTGAATTTCTGTGATGAGGAGTTATCATTATTTACACTATTTATATGTAGACTGTTGTCCTCATTTTTGTTATGATTACATTTCAACCATTGTGCCCTCCAGCCTTCATCAATAGTATAAATAAAAATAAACTGTATAGATAATATACTTCTGTTCTATTCTTTCTATCTGGAATTAAATGTTTTGGTTCTGTTTTTTTATGTTCTGTAGAATTTATTCCCTCAAAGGTTTCCTACACCTGTTTGTAGTGTTGTAGTAGTAAGAATGCTGGCTTTGGAAAAAAATGGAGATTTTTGAGTTCAGTTCTTATTTAGGTTTTGTAGGTATGACCTTTTATTAAGTTTAGTCCATTTCCTTTCTGCTGAATTGACCTGATTACTTTGAGGAAGATTGGGAAACACAGGCACATTCTTTTCAATGAGTTGAAAAATAATTGCTTTGACAAGAGCTATATAACATTATCTTGATTTTTTTTTTTTTTTTTTCTTTTCTTTTTTTCATTTCTTTTTTCTTCTAAGTAGATAGTTGTAATCATTGTCAATGAAAAAATTAGGTTTTTGAATGAGAACAAATATATTGACCTACCTAATGTAGCAAAGCTGAACAAGAAAGACTATACGAATATATGGAAATGTATATTTGCTTGTTGTTAACTGTGTTTTACTTTCACTCAACCACTTTTGGTTATCCTTTTTCTGACAAGTGAGAAAAGTGGATATGTGAGCATTGTTGGAAATCTGTTGAAACAGCAGCAGCTTAAGTGAGAACTTTGAAAGCAAGAAGCTTGAAAATAAAATATTTTACTAACATGGTAGTTCGGTTAATGAATTACTATTTAGTTCAATATAAACTTTCCACATTGAAAATTCCACAATTTCCAAATGAAAAAAAAAAAAACGCTTTCACAAATCTCTAAAGAATCTGAACAACTGATGCAAGATTCACAAACAGTGAATGCTGTTAATATAGTTTGTACCTCACAATTCACTAGTCCTCAGCTTCCATGCTTTGGGACTGCAATTAGAATCTAGCAGTCATTTTGGTATGAACCAAACTATTCAGCAAAAAATCATCACTTGTAGTGCGGGGAGCAAATTTGCATAAAATTTTATCAAAAATCTTTCTTAGAGAAAATTCTGATAGAAAACAAAATGTGTACACTCTATAGAACTATTTAGAAATATTTTTAAATGAGATATTGTAAGTTGTTTAATCATTAAAACTGTCTTGGGTATGAAAAACTACATCTTGCAGCAAGGCCTTTGATCAGGAGGTTTTGAGGAGTATGGAACCACCTATTAATTGCTGTTGTTCCTAGGTCCACCCTAACCTGGGGTTGTAGCACCTGTTAGGGTCCTAACTATGGGCAAATAGTGAACCCCCAAACTGGGATCAAAACACTATGAAAGTTTAGAAATAGATTTTTATAGTGCCAGCAATACATTTTCATAGTAAAAAAAAAAAAAAAAAAAAAATTAGCATCAATAAATTTTTGTAAATGAAATTGCTAATGCTCCCAAGAAAATTAAATTTTAGCATTAAGGAGTTGATATGCCACAAAGCAAACACCTTAATTATTAAAAACAAAAAGATATAGTCTATTTTCAATAGAACATTTTTACATGAAAAAAATGCCTTAATTTTAAAAATCTGTTAATTATTGAATTTAAAATTTTTTTGATACTTATGATAGATTTTTGCTTACAATTTTTATATAGTATTTTACACAAATTGGTTGACATTTTTTGTCATGAAAAGTTCTCAACCTAACTCACTTCTCAAAGGAAGTATTTCAATGACTAAAAGTCAGAATACTGATTTAGGGAAATAGGTCAGGCCAATAACTTTTCAGCGCTCCCTAATACTGATTGATTTATTATCATTCAGTGTGGTAAACTTGAGTTTACAGGAGAAGCACTTTGTCATGGGATGTCCAATAAGCTTGAACTATGTAAATTCTAGAAGTATTACAATAGAGTATGTGCATTATTCACTCTTAAGCTTTACTTGTTCAGAAAATTCACTACTCCAGCATTTGGATTATATATTTTCATATTTTTTTTAATGTTATTGTTTTCTTAATGAATAAGATTTTGTTCTCAGCTATGCGCGGCGAGGAGAATTACTGGATTACCTACGGAAATTGTCGTCTTTTGATGAGACTTGTACACGATTTTATTCTGCAGAGATTGTCACAGCATTGGAATATCTCAATGGTTTAGGGATCATTCACAGGTTCAGAATTACTTTTTTGCTTTTCTTTTTTTTTTCTTTTTTTTTTTTCTCGTTCTCCGTTCTTCCTATTCTATTTTGGATGTCTCTTCTGTCACCACCTCCATCCCTTATCCTGGGTATTACGATAAACTACATCTAGCAGCAAGGCCTCTGATCAGGAGATTGGGGGTTTTGAGGAGTTTGGAACCACCTCTTGATTGCTGTTGTTCCCAGCTCCGCCCTGAACCAGGGTGGTAGCACCTTTTTGGGTTCCTGGTATGGGCACCCAAACAAAAATCAACAGTACATTTTTATAGTAAAATTAGCAAAAATACATTTTATGATCTACAAAATATATATCTAAAAAGCACAAAGTATAAAATTATGTACAAAATATTTAGATTCTGGCATTAAATAACCCATAGAGGTTGGTATGCCACTAAACAAAATCAACCAATATATCATCTTCAGTTGTTGAATGACAAAAATTGATTAGTGCCTGAAATACTATGATTACACAATAAGATTTTTTTTTTTTTTTTTTAAAGTCTAGCTCACTATATCATCAAAGTAAGCCAGTTTTGCATTTAGAAATAAAAAATAAACCTTTCTCTATTTTGGATTAAGTGTCTAATATTTTGTTTAAGAATTTTATTGTAAAACGTTTCATGGATTTATAAAAACTTTTTCAAAATACTTGACCAAATGATTTATATTCATGAATAAATTTTACCATCAATCATGGAATAATAATTTCTATGTTTTGTATTTTTTGTAGAGACTTGAAACCTGAAAATATTTTACTCAATGATAAAATGCACATACAAATAACAGATTTTGGATCTGCAAAAATCATAGGAAAAGATGATGTCCAGAATGAAGAAAAACAGTCCAGAGATTCTGGTCAGCCAGGTAATATCACATTGCCTTTAGATTTAGTGTGTATCTTGGCTTCTCTAGGTTCTTTTTTTTATTTCTTTTAATTTAATCTTTTATAAATAAAAATAGATGGGGGGGAATTAAAATGACTTTCATATTATTCCTTTATTTTTATGAGTTGACATTCTAAAATATACTTGCCAGTATTTCTGTTAACTTAGAATTATTTGTCCAGGTGTTAGGAATAATGCATAAAAATTTTCAAATATTATCTGCTCAAGGAATCTCTCCTTGTTTTGGATAGGCATTTGTAATGTTTATGTTTGCATGATTTTATGATGGTTTTTTTATTACACATGATCAAGATTTCTGATTGGGGGGAAATGGTCTTTGTTTTCATGCATAAGAAAGAAATATGCATAGCATATAAAAAAAAAACCCTACATTTTTTTAAGTGCTTTCAATTGTTGCTTAACAAAAAAAAATAAAAAAAAAATTAATATTTCTGAATTTTCATTGAAAACCTGCTAGTTAATTTATTAGAACTTATATATATATATATATATATATATATATATATATATATATATATATATATATATATATATATTTATTATGCAGTGTTACATTAGAACATGCACATACCCACTATGAAACTGTACATCTTGCTTCAATGTTAAAAAATGTTTTTTTTTTTTTTTTAAATTGAAACAATATGTACAGTTTTGTAGTGGGTATGTGCATATTCTAATGTAACACTGCATAATAAATATTTACATCATTTCAATTTTGGATGAGATGTTAATTTCTATCATTGTTAATTTCCATATCCATATTCTTTCATATAGTTTTTCAATTCATTGATTCTGGCAATTTAAAAAAAATGCTCTTTCTACTTTAACATCTTTCTTGCCTTTTGTTTTTGACAAGGATTGATTCTTTGTAAACATTGATCTAAAAAATAAATCAACTGCAAATTTTCACCAAAATTTCTCTCATCTTTAAATATTTGCTTTTATATGATAAAGATTTTGTTGAAACATCAATTTTAGAAAGTTACATTGCTTAAGCATTCTGCATATACAGCTTCCTTTTTAATTATAAAGCCAATATTGCTACAAATCCTTTTTGCTCAAATCAGATTTCATTTCTTATATCCATACATTTGTATTTTCTATGATCTTTTCTGTTTTATTGCTTCTTGCAAACATCTGATTAATTTTTGTAGAAGGCAGCCGAGAGAATCGCCATTCCCAGCGTCGGAAATCCTTTGTGGGAACAGCACAATATGTTTCACCTGAGGTACTTACCAGCAAGAGTACATTCAGGTAATTTAATATTTGATTGTTTCCAAGTAGTTATTTTAATCTGTCTTGTAGTTTTATTATTTCAGGACTGTATCTTTGTTTATAAATTAGTTGTCCTCATCAACATTTGCTCTTCTCTCTTTTTCCGTAATGCATAACAAAAACCAATAAGGATCCTCTATTTCCAAAATCATATATAGCTTTCTGTTGGGAAATTTTACTCTAACATGTTACTTGATTTTAGATTAATTTAAAACATTTACTAATCTAGATCAGAAAAATGTGGAATTGACAGTATTAGTCCAAATTATATAGTTTGTCCTATCATTCCAGAATCTGTTTGCATCATTTGGTTGGATTAGCATGTCATAAGGTTTGATAACAAAACCCATTTGCACATTAACCAAGTCTTTTAAACACCAGAATTGATAAAAATCCCAACAAATAGTCAAACCATAAATTGAAATACACTAGATAAAAATTAAATCCTTCGTGAAGTTAAAGATTTCAGTACAGTACATTCATTAAAATGTTAAATGTCATATTTCATTAGCTTGATAAAAAGCTAATTACATATTAGTAAATAAATTACATGTAAATTTAAGTATAAATCACTGACTGTAGACTTTCCTAAGTCTTCTCAGTTATCTTCTCATAATTTTGATCAGATTAAAAGGTCAGATTAGCTCTCTGCTATTTTTATACCATTATTTAGTTTGTGAATAATGTTACAATTTGATGAAAAAAAAAACAAATCTTTTCAAGTTTGTTAAATTTTATTACCTGTTAAAATTATGCTCTTGTGCAAGATTGATATATTTTTTACAGTTGTGATGAATGATAATTAAAATTCAAAACTTTCATAAATTGTTAAACTAAATAAATTAATATATATCTTTTCTTTTGTTGTAAGGCACAATGAAGAAAATCCTAACACAGTGGTTCCTAAACCTTTTCTTGTCCTGGGTAAGACGTTAAACTACATCCGCGTCCTGGGTAAGACGTTAAACTATGTCCAGCAGCAAGTCCTCTGATCAGGAGGTTTTGAGGAGTATGGAACCACCTTTTAATTGCTGGTGTTCCCAGGTCCACCCTGACCCAGGGTGGTAGCACCTGTTAGGGTCTCGGCTATGGGCAAATAGTTAACTATTACCAGCAATACCTTTTTGAAAAAAATTATTACCAGCAATACAATTTTGAAGGAAATATATTACCAGAAACAGATTTTTGACAAAACAAAATATTTACAACAATATAAACTAAACCAATCTAAACCAAATACATACTCAATTCATATGAATCTATCCTAAAAATGTTGTCGGCATTAAATAACCCATTGAGGTTGATATGCCGTTAAACAAAATAAACCAAACCAAAAACTCAAACCTTTTTTGAGTTGTTGCTCCCAGGGCTGTAGAGTTGGAGTTGTAAGCAATTAACAGGTCACTGGAGTAAGTTGGTAAACTATACCAACTCTGATTCCAGTTGAATTTACACTTTATATAAGAAGTCTTAAATTATAGAATTTTTATTTTTGTTATTACTTCTACTGTATATTTACTATTTCCTTTAAAGTAATTAATCTCAACTTCTTTTTTTAAAGTCATTTTATTTTATTTTTTTTTTTTTGTAGTTATTTTGTATTTGCAAAACTATATATGTTAAAAAAAAAAAAAATCTTGCATTATAGAATTTTTAATTTTATGTATTTTACATCCTGTAAAAGAATAATTTCAACTTCTGTTATAAAGTAGATTTATTTTTGTTCTGTACTTATTTCTTATTTGCAAAGATTATATATATATATATATATATATATAAAGTCTTATAGCATTTTTATTTTTGTTATTTCTTCTATATCCTTTCAAAGATTTTGATACTAATTCTGTTTGAAAATATTGAGGTATGATATAAAAGCCACGTCTTTATTCTTTAATATAAACCAGTCATAATGATATATGCCTACTCAAATTAGGAGCATATGCATAGGCTTTGAGTTTTGTAGGCTATAATCATTTTACATAAAGAGGAGGTGGAGGTTTTGTGTTCTGGCTCCACAGCCCTGGTCACCCACTTGCATTTTATAACATGAGATGCACTTTATGTACAATGTGTGTTGTATGTTATGGTTTAGATGTGCCTCTGGCTGCCCACTTTTTTTCTCTCTGCCTCTCTGGATCTTCTAAGTTTCAAATTTTCTATACTTCTGAACAGCCAGTTATACTGAGTTTAAAGTCTGTCACAAAATGTGTAGCTAAAATATTTTATAATTTACTTATATATTTTACTTCTCTTATTTTTGTCTGCAAAAATAAAAGTATGAATTTTAAAATTGAACCTTTTTTTTTTTTTTTTTAATTCCACTAAAACATTTTCATTTTTCAGTTCTGATTTATGGGCCTTGGGTTGTATAATTTATCAACTTCACTCAGGTCTCCCTCCATTTTGGGGAAAGTAAGTAATCTAAAATATATTACTCCTTTTAATATTTTATTCTGATTATGACACTTGTGGAAACAAAATAGGTCAGGTCAAACAAGATGGTCAAGAAAGTAAAAACTGATTAATTTTCTTTATCTTTAACCAGTTAATAAAAGATGACAGAATACTTTTCTTTAAATTTCCAGTTTTTTTTTCTCTACAATTGCTGAGTAGAATTGTTTTTTGGCTTTTCTCTGTTTTAATATACTTTGTCATTGAAATTTTTAAATGTCTTAAAGGGGGAGGGGTAATAAAATGTAGCAAAAGCAATGTTGAGCAGTACAAGGTAAAAATAGAGTATAGGGTGAAAAACTCTTACCATCTTCAGTTGCTAAATGAAATTTAGAAATAGAAATTGGTTGGTGCCTGAAATACTATGCTTGCACAATGAGGAACTAAGTTTGATTCTTATCAAGAGTTATTTATTGTTCTAAATTGCCTTGAAAAATCAAGAGATGTACGTAAAAATAATGAGCAATGAGTCCGAATGTTGATATAGAAAAGAATAAAATGGTGGCAATCATGTTTAAAGTGCAACTGAGTTAAGCATTAACTTTTTAAAGTAGTGTCTAAAAGTTCAGCTTTAAGACAGGGAAACAATTGATGGTAAAATTATTTTACTTTCAGATGTTCTCTCTTAATGATGTAAATCCTTAGGTAGGTTTTAGTTTGCATGTGGCTTTGTAAATGCAACATTTGAAAAGTTTTGAGTTTTAATAAGCAAATTGACTATAAATTTAACCAGCTAATGCCTACCATAAAATCTATTAATTAGAAGTTTATAATTGAAAAAAAATATCCACTATTATTGGTTTCTGAACAAACAAAAAATTCCACTTTTCCTTTTTTGCTCAGTGAGTATTAATGGATGGATATGGGGGGGCATTAATGGGTGAAACATTATTTTTTTTAAGTACTCACCAAGAATTAACTACAACAATGAATAGTTCTATACAATTAAGAGATCTCAACTTTTATGTTTTTGTGTAAGCTTGACAAATAAGGCCTTCAAACTGATCCACAAAAAAAAAAAAAAACTATATTTAGTCCTTATTTTTTCTGATTTTTTTTTTTTTTTTTTTTTTTAAATAAAAAAGCCAGCCATGTAGTGAAGTTTAAAAGCTGAATCTATTTTAGTAAAAAGAGCATCCTAAAAAGAAAACATTGTTATATAATGTATTTTATGTTTATTAATAGAAGTAATTATTTTTATATATGATTTCAGCCATGAATACCAAATATTCCAGAAAATTTTAAAATTGGATTATGAATTTCCAGATGGATTCAATCCAGTTGCCAAAGATCTGGTACAAAAGTTGTTGGTAAGTTATTGTTGTTACAAAGTTATTGTTAGGAGGATTGTGTTGTAGCAATCTTCCATATAGAAAGTGCTGTCAGCCTTGAAAATTAGAAATATTGGTATTTATATGGGCTTGAGCACTGACTACTGGCACCAGTTGGGAAATATGCCATCACTTAAGTTACAAGGCAGGTCATTAATTCTTACTTGACTCCTTTTTCACCAAATGGGAAAGACAACTTTAATCCCTTTTTCCTTCAGGGTAATGATATTTTGGTTTGTCTTTAAGCACAGAATTTACAAGAAAATATGTCATTGGTTACAGCTGCTGCTTGCTTAACACAATTGACAAAACTATTCAATATATATGTTCAAAACAACCTGTGTGTAAGGGTGCGATGAATAAATTGTCGTCTAAATTTTGCAAAAATGAAAATAATACTGACATCCCATTTTAACAGATATATTTACCAAAATTATGCAAAAATATCTTTAAATACGAAAGAATAAATTTATTGAATAAAATTGCTATTGACTTCAGCCATGGCCTCCAGACAACTTCAGAATCTCCTGCATCTTTTCTTGACAGTTACCTTGTTTAAGTTGGTGAATGCTGCCATAATGCTCACCTTCAGTTCATTTTTGGTGTTACAAGGAATTTTGTTGGTCTCTCCCTTAACTGCACCCCACACATAATAAACAAAGGGGTTGCAGTCTGGGAAGTTAGGTGGTCAGATGTAGTTGTAGAAATTGTCTGACAGCCATGACTGGGTTCCCCTACTTGTGTGGCATAGTACAAAGTTTTGTTGCCATATATGGCAGCAGTATTCCATTTTTAGCCTGATCTGGCCCTTGATAAGGTAGAAGATAGGAGGAGTCTGGTACTTACTGGAGCAGCACAGGGAACTCACCATTTTTTCAGTATTTTTAGTGATGGATCATATGTACAGGTTCCACTTGAGATTTAGGTTGAGTTTAACCCTTTAGCATTCAACCCACCCCATAAATATTGGCTCTCAGTGTTCAACCTATCTTAACTCACTCCATGTACACTCTACCATAATATGACATCACAAATAACACCAGAAGTAATGCAAATAGTGAGATGCTTTGATCACAGTGAGACTTTGAGAACCAATATTTATGGGGTAGGTTTGAGTGTGTTTAATGCTAAAGGGGTGTAAGTTGAAAGAACACCCACTCATCACAATAGGGGAAGATTTAGATGATATTTAGAATTAGCAACAGCATTAGTTGACAGATTTTTGAAGAAATTCTTTTTAACTTCCCCTATGGAGAGTATGTGCTCTCCAAAGCAATTATCCAAAAGTGGATAAGGAATTAAAAAAAAATTATGTTTATAGATTTCATTAATAATTTCAAGATGATTCTATTTCTTTAAGCTTTATCTTTGAAGAACCTTGCAGTTATGGTGCTCACTCATACAACATTGTGGATAGAAACCTTTCAGTTCTCTGATCTTTCACCTTAAGCAATCATAATTATAACCTTTTGATTTCTCAAAGAGCAAAATATGGGAATGTTGTCTACTTCTCAACTTGCTGAGCTTTCATTTTGATGTTCATTTATAATTTTCAGGTTTTGGACCCAACTAAGAGATTAGGATGTCCAGAGGTGGGAGGCTTTGGACCATTGAAGAACCACCCCTTCTTTGAGGGAATCATTTGGGACCAGCTTTGGGAACAGGATCCTCCAGATCTCTTACCCTATCTTCCTGCCACACCTAGTAACCCCAGTATGTGGAGCAACTATCGGGTATGTCACTTAGTTTTATTACTGTTTGGTTACTGGATGAACTGACTCAACGATTTAATTTACATTGCATGTCTTTTCTATTTGAAATATTTTTTGGTTATCCTTAAATAACAAAGTTATGTTGTCCAATGATAAATGAGCCTCTTATTAGACTTGAATGTTATTAATGTTTAGGCTGATACATTCTGGAGCCCTAATTTGGCATATTCGGGGAGGTGGGGGAATGAAAAATGCTAATTTCAGCAGCACAAATTTCTTCAAGTACCCTGTCAATCCCAAATTATATTCTCTGTACTTTCTTGACACAAACTTTGCTAAGCAAAAAAAAACAAAAAAAAAAACACATGAGCCTGAATTATGCACCTGACCAACAAGCTGGTCTCTATACTCCCTTCTTCAACTTTCTCATGCATATCAATTATCTGGATCTCACTTCAAAGAAGTGAGATCCAGATAATATCTCCAGATATGTACCTTTATATCAGTTTTCCATCTCGGCTTTGGTTATAGCTTTCCTATGTTCCCTAAATCTGATTTTAAATGGTTTCCTTTTATATATATATATATCTTTCTACATATGCATGGTATATTCTCAATAATGTTTTTTTTTTTTTGTTGTTGTTTTTTTTATTAAACTCTTATCAGGGTCTAACTTTAGTAAGAAAATTCATCTACTAAAATTATTAATTTTTTTTTAAAGTTGTATTGATAATCAAAAAATTCAAATTATGTCTTTTAGAATTTGACCATTTTAGTGGTGTGAATCTGTGTTTAATGATAAAATTAGCAAACCTAGCAGAAAAGTCATTTGTCATGGACTTCATACATGCTATTAACCCATTCAAAGGTTGTTAATGTTTTCATTACTTCACCTGTTCAATGCCAAAGAGCTGCATTAAATAATGACCCGCCTCTTGAAATTCATACCTTGTTTTAATTTTGTCTTCTGCACATAGCTAAGGACTAATACCTACTTTTCATTTGATACTATTCAGTCTCTTGTGAATCCTCATTCATTTCTTGGCTTGTCAAAATAATTATTGATGCTGAAGTTAAAATTTTATGTATGATTGATTGATTGATTTTTGTTTTCTATGGCTTATCAACCCATTGCAGGTTAGAAAATATTTTTAGATTGTAAGATTTTTCATTTTTTAAAATAATAATCATTTCGAGATACAAGTTTTACTAATTAACCCATAGCTGGTGGGAGATGGATTCATACCTTTTTCAGTGTGTATTTACATGTAAGTAAATATAATGACCTCTACAATTGTGAGCCATTATCCATTATACCACTTGTATATCCAAGCTTACAGCATCTGATTTTCCCAAACAGTCACCCATCTAGGCACTGACCAAGCTTGAAATTAACTTTGTTGATCCTATGGGATCTGACATTTCAATGTGATGTAGCCATAAGCCTATAAATTAGTTGAAAGTAACTACTTTGTACTAATTTTGTTCATATTTTGTTCATATCCTATATAGTTAATGGATATAAATTTATTTAATCAAGTTGAAGCAAAAATAAATTCAATTCTTTGTAATCTCATTTTATCAAAAATTCATCAATAATATCCCAATAAAACAAAGCTGAATTGAAATTGTCTAAAGCTGAATTGAAAATTCGTTTCACTGCAGTCAAAGAAAATGATAAACAGAAAGACATAAATGGCTGCAACCTCCAGACTGTTGGACTGACATTGTAAAAACAAGAATAGATATAAAGGAATCTTTATATCTGTCTTTATATATCTTAGTCTGATTCTGACTCCACCTACCTGCTTCTATTTAATTGTTTGCTTATTTGTTCAGAGGTAAATGATCTAAAACTCATACAAAGATATAATCCTTTTTCTTTTCAAATTAGAGTGGAGGTGTGATTGGTGTAATAGATAGCATCTTGAGCTAAGAAATTGGAGAGCGGTGTTCAAATTCCAGTAGAGTCCATTATATTCACTTATGTGCAAATACCCATGGGGAAAGTTATGAATCCTTCTCTTCTCCCACCAGATATGGGTTAAATAGTACAACTTGTCTAGAAAAATCATTATCTCCAAAAGCCTGTTAATACAATATTCCCCCCACAAAAAAATACTACAAAAATAATCAATCTTTTCAAATTAATTTATGTTTATCATTTATTTGAATGCAGTAAATTTTGTTTCATTAAGTCACCAGTTAATTGGATCATTTATTTAAACCAAACCTTCCAAAACTGAAACATTTGTAATAATTTCAAAAAATAAGATGAATGGTAAATTGATCAAAGATTAATAATGTAAATGCTTCATCTAAGAAATTGAAACTATTTCAGACAAAGGTCAGTTGTGTATTAAATGCAGCCATATATACTTTTAAGGATTTTAATAATTAGTTGTTTTTATGATTGCATAATTGTCTTTTCCTTTTCTTTATCCCTTGGAAGAATAAGTTAGAGAATTGAAAAAATCTCTTCACTACTCATTACTCGGTTACAATTTTGCAGGCAATCACAACCAGTTTTTTCAAGTATTTTTTTAGAGGCCCAAATACTATTATGAAGTAATGTCCAAATAAGAAATGCTTCAAATTTTTTTTAGACTTTGAAACTTTTTAAAAATTAAAACTTGTTTTATTCATTTAAGAATGATAGTAAATTCAAATAAACCACTTATGAATTCTGTGTATATGGGTGCCGTTAATTTCAAAAATTATATTTATTAAGTAATATTTGATAAAAGACAAAGGGAGTTATGGTCATTATTTCTCATATTCCTTCCATCAATGTCTTGAAGACAAAGTGAATGAACATTGAAATATGTCATACTGCCTTTTTTTTTTTTTTTTTTTTTTTTCTTTCTATTCTAATCAAATTTTTGACATAAGAAGAAAGCTGATTCACTGTCCATCACATATTGTTTATATGTGAATTTACATGTGTATATGCAATGTATATGCATTTGCCTGCGTTATGAGTGACTTGTAGTATTATTTTGAATAGATAAAGAATTTTGATTCATATTTAATCTTTTTGTCATTAGTGAATGTCAGGTATTAAACTAGTATTGATTATTTACAAGTATATTCATAATGAGAATGCACAGGTGGTGGAATGGTTAGCAGCATGGAACAAAAAATTAGCTAGCCAAGTTCAAATTGCAGATGGTTTTGTTACATTCACTTTTGCACAAATACCTTTTATCAGATTGGTATGAACATCGTATAAAAAATGCAGTGTTTATATATTAAAATTTGTTGAATTTTAAATGCACACACACTTACACAGATGTGAATCAATAAGTTCCTAGTGTGGCATAGTTATGAATTAAATTTTGATCTTGTATTTTCAATGCATTATTTGATCTGTGATTAATATTCACTACAGAATTAAGTGCATTGACAGTTTATTTTTATAAAAAGTTTTATGTAAAATAATTTATTAGGGAACTGACTTATTCATCTATGTAAATATACTGCATTTAATAAAATTTCCTGTTTTTAATTCTGGTTGATAATTTTTATTTTCTATAAACAAATCAAAATCTTCTCTCTCTCTATCTCTTTCTCTCTCTATCTCTTTCTCTCTCTATCTCTTTCTCTCTCTATCTCTTTCTCTCTCTATCTCTTTCTCTCTCTATCTCTTTCTCTCTCTATCTCTGTCTCTCTATCTCTCTGTCTCTCTATCTCTCTGTCTCTCTATCTCTCTGTCTCTGTCTCTCTCTTTTTCTATCTCTGTCTCTCTATCTCTCTGTCTCTCTGTCTCTCTCTTTTTCTATCTCTCTCTTTTTCTATCTCTCTCTTTTTCTATCTCTCTCTTTTTCTATCTCTCTCTTTTTCTATCTCTCTCTCATCCCTCTTTCTCTCTGTCTTTCCATCTCTCTTTTCTTTTCTATCTCTCTCTTTTCATCTCTCTCTCTGCATCTCCCCTTTCTGCATCCTCTCTCTGCATCCCTCTTTCTATCTCCCTTTTTCTCATCCTCTTTTTCTGTATCTCTCTCTTTTCTCTGCATATCTCTTTTCTGCATCCCATTCTTTTCTGTATCTCCATTTTTCTGTATCTCTCTTTCATCCTGCATCTCCATTCTCTGCATCCCATCCATCTCTGTATCTCTCCATCCTCTGCATCCCATCTATCTCTGTATCCCCCATCCTCTGCATCTCCATCCATCTCTGTATCTCATATCTGCATCTCTGTATCCCTGCATCCCTATCTATCTCTGTATCTCTATCTATCTCTGTATCTCTATCTATCTCTGTATCTCTATCTATCTCTGTATCTCTATCTATCTCTGTATCTCTATCTATCTCTGTATCTCTATCTATCTCTGTATCCCCATCCTCTCTGCATCCCCATATCCTCTATCTCTCTCTGCATCCCCATATCTCTGTATCCCCATCCATCTCTCTGCATCTCCCATCCATCTCTCTGTATCTCCTCTCTCCCCATCTCTCTCTATCTCCATCTCTCTCTGCATCCCCATCTCTCTCTCTCCCATCTCTATCTCCCCATCTCTCTGTATCTCCCATCTATCTCTCCCTATCCTCCCCTGCATCTCTCTCTCTCTCCCATATCTCTATCTCTCTCTCTCTCTCTATCTATCCTCTCTCTGCATCTCTATCTATCTCTCTCTGTATCTCTATCTATCTCTCTCTGCATCCCATCTATCTCTCTCTGCATCCCCATCTATCTCTCTCTGCATCTCTATCTATCTCTCTCTCCTCTCTCCCCATCTATCTCTCTCTATCCCCATCCATCTCTCTCTGTATCTCTATCTCTGCATCCCCATCCATCTCTCTGCATCTCTATCCATCTCTCTCTGTATCCCATCTATCCTCTCTCATCCCCATCCATCTCTCTGTATCCCCATCTCTCTCTGTATCCCCATCTATCTCTCTCTGTATCCCCTCATCTCTCTCTCTCTCTGTATCTCTATCTATCTCTCTCTGTATCTCTATCTCTCATCCCCTCCATCTCTCTCTCTCATCTCTCTCTATCTATCTCTCTCTGTATCTCTATCCATCTCTCTCTCCCCATCTCTCTCTCTCTCTGTATCTCTGTA